CTCTCCCTCTCTCTCTCTCCCTCTCCCTTTCGTTCTCTCAGTGCTTGGTACTTCGTGCTTGGTCGTGTTTGGCCGTGCATCAGTGCCACTTTCGTGCTACTCGGTGCTACTGGGTGCATTTGTGCTACTTCGTGCTACTCCGTGCTTGGTTTGCTTTCGGTGGTACGTGCATTGGCGGTTGGTTCGTGGGATCCGTGCTTTGTGCTAAGTGTAACGGTGTTACATGCATCGTGGAATCGGTGCTTGGTTCAGTCTGGCTTAGTCGAACCTTTTTTTTATGGAGTTGTATAAAGCGAACATGACGTCACACACACGCACGCAGATGCATCTTGGGCAGACTGTTGGGGTTCAACCTCCGATGAAACAGTCTGGACAGTCGTGCTTCCTTTTTGGCGTGCACGAAGGCACGAGAGAGAGAGAGAGAGAGAGAGAGAGAGAGAGAGAGAGAGAGAGAGAGAGAGAGAGAGAGAGCACCTGGGCATGACAACGCTGACAGATGAAGATGACGAGGAAGATGAAAGATAAGGAGCATGAGCATGATTTACGAGGATAAGGTAAGGTAATAATGACATCAATCCAATTGAAGGAATGGAGTGGGTAAGGAAACACAAGCTGCTTCACGTGGGGAGGGTTTGGGGGGGGAGGGGCATCACATGTCGCAGCCACGTGGCTGGATCGTTTATCCATTTTTCTTTTCGTTTTTTTTTTTGGTGTGTGTGTGCGTGTGTGTGTGTGTGCATGGGTGTGCATGCGTGTGTGTGCGTGTGCGTGTGTGTGCGTGTGTGTGTGTGTGTGTGTGTGTGTGTGTGTGAGAGAGAGAGAGAGAGAGAGAGAGAGAGAGAGAGAGAGAGAGAGAGAGAGGGGCGAGGGAGGAGGGGGGAGGGAAAGGGAAGGGGTAAATGGGAGAAGCAGTATATAGTGATTTCGTTTTTCTCTACTGATCAGGAAAATGAGTAGAGGCAGTGCAACATCGGGAAGGAGTGGAGAGGGAAAGAAGCGGCCATGAAGGCGGGGCATGATGATGGGGTTGGGTTCTTGACGACCAGGGCGGAAAAGGTCTCGGGATCCAAATGCAATGGGAGGGAGAGGAGGAGGTGGGGGAGTAAGGACAAGGGAAAAGGAAGGTGGGTGTGGAAGTCACTGGGGAATTAAGATCAGGGCAACGCGGGACAAGTGCAGCCATTGTGGGGAGAGGGGATCAGGTGAAAGGAGGATGGGTGCCACATTTGAGGGAAGGGAGTGGGTAAAGAGACATAAGCTGCGCCACGTGGGGAGGGTTAGCCATGTGGCTCGATCGTCTTTTTTGTTGTCTTTTTTTTTTGTTTTTTTGGCTCGATCGTCTTTTACGTTTTTCGTTTTGTTTTTCTTATTTTGTGTGAGAGATAGAGAGGGGAGCTGGGAGGGGGAAGGCAAGAGGGTTAGGAGGGAAAATGAAGATGAGTTTTTTTTTTTTTTTTTTTTTTTTTTGTTCGTGTGTGGCTCGATCGTCTTTTTTTTT